GTCACACTGTTGCTCCAATATTGGAAGCCGAACATCGGTTATACTGACATTAACATTCTGCAGCGGAGACCGTGATGAATATCCTCGCGAAACGCACAAGTTTTTTTTACCTAAAAACTTGCCAAATGATACGGCTTCTCTCCTTAAAACCAGGAGAAAGCCCATGAATTTGATGTCATCTTAATATCGTTAATTAACGTAATATCATAAATTAACGGGTTTTTTTTTTACGTTTGTCGATTTAATAAATCTTGTCGCTTTAATGTAATCTTATGATCATTACGCAGAACGGTAGTTTTATAAAAAGTGAAATAAAATAATTACTTAATTTTTCTGTAAAAAATTAATATTCGAAATTAAAAAAAAAAAATTAGAAAACATAGAATGCTAATTTTATACAGATTCTCTTGCTTGTCTAAATTGAATTTCAGTTCGGCTTCTTTTTCTCTATATTACTATGTCCGCAACCATTTTACTTAACTATGACAAAGCATCGCAGTAGGTAAACTGCTCGTTAATCAGGATGCGAGCACACAACAAACTCTTAAATGGTCGGCGTGCATTAATCATAATGCAGTAAAAGCAGCTGCGAAGGTATTGTTCCTCACGCACTTGAAACAAAATATTTTCCTTCCCGGTATAAACAGACCTCTTCCTCCGTATTTATTGTTGAATGCACAACAACTGTCGAGTGTCGGAAATGGAGTTTCCATGAGTCGACGATATCAAATAGCGCGAGGAGACACGAGGTGAGATGATGTCACACTCTACATGGGACTCGTGTGTTATGTTGACGTCGCGTCACAAACGCAAGGGAAATACTGAAGGAACTGCAGTCCTATCCTGAGGAAACTGCGCGAGCAGTTTGTTCGCCTTTGATGCGAGATTTTGATTATCATGATCACAAAAGTGAATATATTGCAAAAGTCAACGGCAGATTCGTAAACAAAGGTATTATTATTATATTATCAAGTTATGTATCATTTTTTTCTGATAAAAAGAAACTGCTCTCGCAGCTCTTTTTCCGTTCTTTCCTTACTTTAAAGAAACAACAGTTCAAGAAGATAAATGCGCTCGTTCTCTGTACCTCGACTTCGAGGAAGTCTTAATGCGAAGAGCCGCCATTTCTTTAGAGTTTTTGCACCGATTTCTGGTTCCCCCGTTGGTTACTCGGGAACCACCTTATCTTCACTTCGCTCGTATTTTATGAAACCCTAAAGCATGATATAATATCTCTGCTTAAACGAAAACTGATAAATGTACATTGAACGATGTCCAACTTTATAGGTATGCTGTATTCAAATTTTTTTTTATTTTTATTATAACACAAAGAAAAAGCCTACACTTTGAAATTGGTCTATATAATTAAAATTAAATATGAGGAAAATTGTTTTGTTTCACTATGTATAATAATTAAATTACGCGCTATTATATAATTATTACAAATAATTTATTAATCAAAGATATTAAATCAATAATTGCTAAAGAATATGCGATAAACTATTTGCAAATATTTCTCGATCTACATTGACAACAATTTGCAAAATTATAAAATGCGCAAAATTTATGTCTCATTTCGCATGTGCACATATTTACACACACACATTGAAATGTCAATATTGGCACCGACAGAAATTGCGAGGTATGCCGTTCCCGGAAAATCATCGGTATCTCGCGAAAAATTTATCGAATCACATTGTATTACTTTTAGAGCTAAAATACCTTGTATTTCTCGGTCGGCCGAAAAGAGGACGCACCATCTTGGTACGATAAATGCCCTGATTTACCGAAGCTTTAACTTCAAGCCAAAGGTCTGCTCTGCCCGTTGACTGTACGGAACTTTTCACTCTTTTCTATTCCTTTTAATTTTTTACCAGAGACTACTGTCAAATACAAAGTTTCTCGATATAGAGACTTGGGCAGCTGTCGCGATATAGACACGGGTTTCCTTAACGGAAACAATGACAACTTGGATAGTTTTACGAATATTTGTGACATTGATAAAAAGAATTTCTTTCGAAGGTATTATCCATATTGGCGGTATATCTTTTACACACAATACTAAATTATATTCTCATTTTTAAATCTAAATATTTTTTATCAACAAAAATATCATTACACATTACTATTTTGTGAAGTAGTATAATTACAGTTTTATCTTTCGCAAGATGAATGCATTTTAAAAATAAATATTTATATTCGTATTTTTTATCTAAATATATATCTCCCTATTTTTTGAACTAATTATTTGCCAAATGACGAATAAAATTTAATTCAATCACGGATAATATATCACAGTTAAAACGATCTGTTCTCTATCTACATTTCTAAACACAAATCGTATTGTCTAAAAAAAAACGCACTAATGATCAAGTTGCTCCTATTTTCACCCTCATCCACCAGCTTCTCTGATACTATCGCGACAGTGCATCTGATTCGAGCGCAACTCGCTCTGTCCTTGCTTCGTCTGTTTGATGCACACACTCTTTCGCGTTTGGTTCTTTGACGCAGACTGTGACGCGCAAATACACGACGGAATGCGGGCGTAAAAGAGTGCGATTTAAATTCCTCGAGTGCGGCATTTAACAGCGCTCTTTAATTCTCGTTCATGTCGCGAACACTCGCTCTTCGTCGCAGATCGCGACTGTTTCATATACGTACATAAATGTTTTTGCTTTCATCAATACGTATGTGTGTGTGTGTATATATCTTTTTAAAAATATTGTTAGCAATCAAACTGTGAAATGTTATAGTTCAATATTTTAGTTCACGATCTCTCAATTGAACTATTATTCAATTGAATAATATTCACTTGAATGTTAATAAGAATTTAATTTATCAAAATTATGTGACTTTAAATCATTAATGTTTAAATAAATTTGTTCATTATTCTGCTAAAAATTACTTTAATATATTTTATAATCATTAATCTAAAATGTAACAACGTACATACCAGAAGAAAAACCTAATTGTAAGAAAATTAAAAAAAAATAAAAGATAATTACAATTTTTTAAACTTTCTTGAAATGTTTTTTCTCTCTTACAATTAGCATCTTGAGATTACTACTAAAAATAAAAGATTTTAATTATTTTAAGATTTAAAAAAATTAAATCTGTATAAAATCAATTGTAAATTGGTTCTGTATTTTTTCGATAAATCATAAAAGACATACAACCGTCACTGTTGGAACATTTTGTACATTATGTTATGTTACGGAAAAAAGGACGAAAAAGAGCGATGTGCAATTTTGCTGGCGAAAGCGCGCGATGGGAGTAACTGGCACGTTAATTGGCGTTCATCTGGAAAAGCTTTACCAATGGCTGAAGTGTCTACGAGTAAGCACGGCTCCTAGCAGGGACGTGCGAAATGTCGGTGGGTTGGGAGAGAGCGTAGGAAGAGCTAATTATCCCGCGGGAAAAATTCCTTGGCGCATGCCGGCCAGCGGCAAATCCCGGAGGTGACGCACGTTCATCCGTTGGCGTTTCCATAACTTTTCAACAGGATTGTTAATTGGATTCTTTTTTTAGTTCTCCGTCTATGTTCTACCCCTCTCTCATTCTCTTTCTCTATTTCTTTCTTTCCCTTTTGTTTTTTTTATTCGACATCGTATGCTCGCTTCGCCCCAATGGTCGTTTACTTTATTTCGAATTTATTGCGTTGCTTTAATCGTCGTTTTACGATTCTATTGTTGGCGCGTTGAAAATGCCCGTCACGTCTAACGATAATGGAAAATGCGGTTGGAAATGAGGCGTAACATTAAAATGTAGTTTAAAAAAAAATTTTAAAAATGCTGCTTTTAATTCGCATTTTTATCAGAGTTTACAATTTAATTTGAGATGAACAAGAAGTGACTTTTTCAAAACTCATTCGTTTAAATTATATTTTTTAATGTGAAAGTACAGAATTAACTTTTTATTAAAGTTTTATTAGAGTTTGAGAAATATGTAAAACTGTATAAATAGATTTAACAATAAAATTTTGAATAATATTTCAAATAACTTATTATGTAAGTATTTTCTTAGCCAATATTATGTTATTTTTGCAAAAATTATATAAAATAATTTTATTGTTGCAAATTCAATTATCGTTTGCGTGCTGGTTTATAATTTGGTTTACGTGAAAGTGACTACTAGATGCATTTTGTATAACATTAAAGAGCTTTAATTTTTCGATGATTTTGAACAATAAACCTCAAATCGATTCTCGCAGCTCTCGTTTTAAGTTCTTGTAATATGACAGTTTTACAAGAGCAAAATTATAAAAGTACGACGACACGTAACTTGAAGGCAATATTTTATACGAAGCTTGTAAAACTTTCGTGTCATTTTTAGCATATTGTAATATACGTCGAGTGACTGAGCGTTCGAGCGGTTAATTGGATATTAATGAGAGACGTAATTATGTATAGGGAGAAACTCCGGCAAAGTTACAATTGGCTTCGCTTACTTGAAACGACTCTCTTGGAACACTTTCTCACTAAGAGTAAAAATAAGGAGCTAAACAGGGAATTATCGCTTTTCGAATAACGATAACGCGAATCTAAAATAGAAAGTTCAAAGCTAATTCAAGATTGATTCGTCCTGACTGCAAAACATCAGTGTGTATCTGACGTGAAGAGTTGCAAAAACTTTCCAATTTCCATCTTGGATTTACGTTACTATTCGTTGTAAAACGTGACTTCGAACTTCTCTCTATCTCTCGAAACTCGACAACTGTCGCAAAAACTTTGCAATCGCGCAAGAGCGTGTATCTAATTTAAGTAAAGCTATACCTGGCCAGTTCACTAGACAACCTAATTGAATCGATAACTATGAGAACCGTTTACGAACAGTCGTAATTGTATCGATTTAGCATAGACTAGACTGTACCATTTGGTATAATATTTCTGGATGTATATTTTAGTAGTTTAGTGTAGAGAACAATTTTTTCTACATTGCATAATATTTTGTTTCTTAACGGATTATTCGGAATATCAAATAATTTGAAAATAAAAACTCACCGATTACTGTTAAATTGACTTTGGAGTTTCTCGTCTGGCCGATTTGAAAATCGACACGGCATCTGTAGATACCGGCGTCTTCCTCCCTGGTGTTTTCGATGCCCAATTGCGCTGGTTTTTTGTCCAACATGAAGTACGCACGATGCGAGAACACAGTATCGTCCGACCATCTTTCGGCGATGCCGAATTCTCGGTTTCTAGCATCGATGCTGCAACAAACAAATCAAATAGTCATAAAAAAATCAAATAGTTATGTCAGTCATTTATAATTTAATATATAATCGGCTATATAAACCATCGTTTAACGTTAATCTTCTCTGAAATACATATAATATACATAATATATAATACAATAATAGATGTGTTTATAATGAATGTATCTGTTGTTTCCCAATAAAAAGGAGTTTATTACAGTATAACGTATCAAACCTATTTTAGTAAACATCGATCGTATTAATATCAGTGAATTATAAATTTCTATCGCTTTTTCATTACTTACATATATTAAAATATATACGTGTATGATGCATAAATTAATTTAGTATATGATTAATGATAATAATATGATAATTCACGCTTTAAAGATATGAACTGAAAGATTAAATTTGAAATTCAAAAACGCAAATAAAATTATACACATCGAGCTAAACGCTTCTGTAATATCGTTGAAAAAATATATAGGTTGTACAAAATGTTGTATTATGTAAAGTATCTTACACAGGAAAATATTTTATGACGCAGTCAACTGTCGAGTCATGTACATAATCCAAGAGACAGATTTTTCGAAATACTGTATCATACAGTTTACGATATGTGTCACGCGCAATAATAAGCAGGCGAGTGAAAATATCTACCTGAAAAGAGCGCGATGCTGCCTCGTTGAATTATGGCGAGGATAATTTCACGGTAGATAAAACACGTTTAATACTTGTTACGAAAATTGTTCTACAATCAAAACATAGCGAATGTTTACATTGAACAAGCGAAACGGAAACAAAACCAATTCTTGTAAAACAGGGATTTTCCCGCGCCGCAATGTCGCATCGTTGGTTTTTCGCTACAAACTTTTCTCTCTCTCTTTTTCCACTTCCCTTTTCTCATTCTATCTCTCTTTCCTCCTCTGTGTAAGCCCATCATATGATAAAGTTTTCTAACGCGAGAGTTTTTTTTTTAACAGAAACAAGCTTTGTAAAAGCTATTTAAATCGATACAACGGAAGTGTTTAAAACAATGTAAGAAATAAAGACATCGGTTGAGTAACAAAGTTAAGGAATAGATATTAAAGAGAAAAGAAAAGAGTGACCTGTTTTTAACGCATTATTTTTCTAAGAGATTTTTTGCAGAATTATTTATTGTTGATATTTCCCGAACAAAAACATTAGAACAAAAATATTAAACAAAAATATCAGAGTATTCATAGTTTCTGTATATATTGAAAATATGAATTTTCTGGCGAATTACATTTTTAGTCAAGATAATAAATGACAACGTCATATTATATTAATCGATAAATTTGAAATGACATTATTTCAATAGAGATTTAATTTAAGTCAGAGAAATGCATTTAAAAGTACATATGCAAAAAGCAATATGTGAGATAGTAGATAATTAACGAAAAATTGTCCTCTCATATCAACGAGTTGTTCGTCGTCAGTCGACGTCTCCGTGGTGAATATCGAAATTCTGATCGCTCGCATCTGATTTGACGGCAAAAAATCGCACAGCCAACTCGGTGAAACGACATTTCAGCGACAACCATCGACTTCAACGGCAGGTCATCAGTGTGCAGTATGCAGTTGCTCTCGTCAATTGTCATTTTCGGTGACTCGATATTCGATTTTGAAAAATATATGATACCGAGCGGCTATTTTAACGGCGAATGTCATTACCGCGGTAATTTCGATTAAATGTTTATCAGCGTTATTCTATCGCGGCCAGCGGTCGCGGATGAATTCATCAGTCGAAGGAATAAATTAAAATCCACAAGGGATTTCGCGCCGCATAGTTTAAATCGCGTTCTAGCCCTGGCGCATTATCAACGTGGCCGATGTAATTGGCACATAATTAAAGTTCCTCCAATGATCGTTACCGCGGGCAATCATTATTTCAAGCCGTGAACGCTATTAAATTGTAATAATTATGCTACCATAATTGATTTTGTTTCGCACAATTGCGCTCTCTTTCGCCTTTAATTACTGTCTAATGATTTACATGACATATGTGACACGCGGATATTTTATAATTCTTAATTTACGAATATTTGCCGATTTCGTAATGCGTCCGGTCAAAAATCGTGAAATGTAAAAGCGAATTTATTGAATATTAAATATTATATTATATATACACATATATGGTTTTATATTTCGCATGCGAAGATCAATAAATATTTTCGCTGTCAAACTGACGGTATTTGCTGACCGTATTTTTGATATCAGAATCTCATTATTGTAACAAATAATTTTTACAAATTAAAATTTGACAATACTCGATAAATTTTCTTGCAGATAACGTGTCGACGGATAAACGTGGAGAACTGGCAGAATTCGTTGTAGCAAAATATAAATGTATTTAATATTGTTAGTTTTGTATAATAGTTGTGTTTCATTTATTAGCATTCCAAACACAAATCGCAAATCTACGTCATATTTATATTCTTAACTCGCGCGATTGTATTGTTGGAAAATCGAGATATCTTTCACTTAGCACCGCGAATAAACCCATATCTCCGCGGAATTCGAAAGAGAATCCGCTTACATGTTGCTATTTTTCTGCCTTTTAAGATCATCACTGTTGCGTGACAAACTTTTTGGTATGCATATATCGTAACATTTTATACTTTAAAGTCGTGAAAATATCAGCATTATATAATATTTCTGTTTTTCTATAAAAGGAAGTAGATAATGATGTAGGCGGGGCGAGAGTCGCATGTTAAGCAGTAACGGCGTTGAAAATATAAAATATTACAACTACCGCTAATCTGCGTTGCAGAAAGAAAGAGAAAAAAATATATTTATGCAAAACTAAATATATACACACACATAAATAATGATATACAATAATTTCACTTAAAAAGACATATCTAAAATGAAGTTTAATAAATGAATTAATATACAGAAAGCTGCAGAATTAAATTGTTCCACCTGTCCAATTAAATTTGCTTTGCAAATTTCAGTTAATTTTTTACATTATATTATTTTATATTTTATTTTAATATTATATTATATTGTAACATAAATTTCTGAATGTAACATTAATGAATCTAACGTACAGGAGTACGACTTCAATATGCGGATAATCTGTAATTCATTGTCAAAGTTCGGTATTAAATTTAACGAAATGAGAATAATGAATTCTGTTGTCAAATATACACGGAGAGAATTTTCTCTTAGAATTTACCTTGAAAACCATGATAATCGAGATAATATGATATTGGAAGAATTTTATGAGTTTCTCTCTAATTAATAATTTAACACAATAAAATATATTAATATGTACATAGTAAATTTTAGTAAAATTAATCAAACATATTTTATATCTTATTGTGGTAGATATTAATAATTTTTGTGATAAATATTAATCAAAGAAACTCTTATAAAATTATTCCACGATTATGATGATTTTTAAGATAAATTCTAAGAGAAAATTCACTCTGTATATATTAACGAAATATATTAACGAGATAAAGAAATGAGATTTGTTTGTTTTCTACATATTTTTTACCTATAATATGGGGAGAAAATTAAAACGAGGAAAAATCACGTCGCGAGATAGGGAAACTAGGTGGACACAATTTTATTGTCTACCGGGACTAACCCGGTTAAGACGTCGCACCAACCAACGTTGCGTGTCGATGAAACTATCGCGAAATTTCATTATCCAGCGCGCTCATCGCATTTTCCCCGACCAACTCGAAAAGCCGCGTGATGGTCTGGTCGTATCGTCGACATTGTATAAACGACCTGATGGCCGGCACGTGACGGGTAATTAAAATCTGGTGCAAAATCATACGAAACATTTAAATCTGTTTGCGTTACCCCGAATAATGGTGCCGTGACGTGAACGCGCAAAATATATCGTAACATCGTCCGTTGCATTTTTTCCTTTCTTTTTTTTTTAAATGTGCATTTCGATCGTATATATTTTCGTTTTTGTACATCGTCACTCCTTTTCCCTGTTGCCATTAGTATGTGTGTCACGCGGCGAGTAACAGTTGCATAATATAATCACAAAATTTAATCTATAATTTTCTGTATAAAATTTATTCCAACGATTAAAATATATCATCTGCATTAGTTTGGTTCTCTCTCGTATCTCTTCAAAATACAAGACAACATCGCAAAAATTGAAAAAACTGATTCATTTTTTTCTGTAATAACAATGTAACAGTAAATGATGGCAATAAACTCATTTTTGTATAAAAATATGTTTTTATCCTCGTGAGAAAAAAAGACAAAATACAATTTTGAATTTCCTTATTCAAATTTTACTCTTTTAAAATTGTCTCGAGCACGTCTCATGTTTGCTCGAAATAAGAAAAAATATTATGTAATAATTTACTCACCGTTATGTATATACTTGTTACATGTGAATTTTTATTTGCTTCAAAATTTCATGAAGAAAGTTCAGTCTCATATGCACGGATAAATCACATGCAAATTTACACGATATGCAATCGAACGTTACACTTCCAAAGCTTATTTATTTTGATAAACACACTTATTTGGATTCGTTTTCGATGCGGAAAAAACGCCGATGATTTCCGGATCATTGCGGAAAAATTGCTATAACGTTGATTTATTCTCTTTCAATATATTTAATATTCGCGAAGTTTATTTAATATATGCACATATAAGCAGCTTATTTTATAAGCATATTTTGTCGATCAATGAGTGATTACTATGTGATATTATGAGGAAAAACATTACTCGATACATTAATTCGGTACATTATTCACGTTCACTCATATTTAATAATTATGGAAAAAAGGACACGTTTATTCCTGGAGACAGCTCGCGACACAATTCACACCTTTCTTTTCGCAAAAAAATATCGCGATTACTAACAAGAGCACGGAGATTTGACAAAAGGAGAGAGTCGGGAGAGAAGAAGGGAGAAAGAAAAATTACAATTACGTACATGCAGTGCCATTTGTTGCATCAGCAAAGTTACCAAAACCGTATCCAAATATACCTATATATATTTATATATATTTCGGTTGTCAGGAAACTGATTACGCATATATATTTAACTAAATCAAAATGCATACAATTTACACCTTTTGATTTCGGAGGATCCTGATATTAGAATCGGCAAACATATCGCCGTGTCGTGTCACTGAACACCGACAAGAAACTTGGCAAGCACTTGCCGGGCTTGCATCTCTGTGAGAAACGACGTGTAAACTGTGGACACTTTTTCTCGCGCTTCTTCTAATCACACATATCGTCGACCACCGCTGCAGAGTACACTCGAGTCTCGAATTACATTTTTGCCACACTAGAATATCCCTTGCTTCGATTACGTTGTAATTATAAACGCCTTGAATTTTACAGAATTATTACTTCAACGAGCGTCGAGTGTCTCTTTCCGTTTAAACGTGTTGGCTACTTACACATTCGCGCGATTATGTAAATGTAAATCATCAAAGGACGATCGAACTTCATAAAATTAATTAATCGATGTTCACGCGTCCGTAAATTATCCGATAAAAATATAATTTCGAGAGTGACGGCAAAAAATTTGTATATATATCAGAAAATATTGTGTATCAGTGTTTTAATGTAATTAGTAAATTACGCTATGTGTGTTTTAATGTAATTAATTCCGCATAGTACAATATATGACTCGTTACACATAGATCGAATAAAAATATCAATTAATATATTGTATATATCTGTTCCAGAATGGATCACCATTATGATCCATCTTCTTTAAACGGCTCCTCCTTGATCTTCGCCTCACCAATTTTTGTCGCGAGATGTCCTTCAAAAATTATACTTTGCCTAAAATTCTGCGGTTTCGCATATATGTCTGTGACATGTGCCTTAGATATATTTTAATATTGTGTATATTTTTTGATTCCTATTGATGATCGAAAAGCGCGTATGCGTCAGGGTCAAAATCGCTAAAGTGAACCGAAGTGAACATATACATATAGTAACAAGTCGGGGTGTCGAATCTAGCGATGGACCATCGTTTCTCCATCTCGCGCATCTCATAGTTTAATTTTTAATCGGCGTCCATCGCTTCGCGCGTTTCAATTTATCACGAAACGTTATTCAAACATGTGTTTTTCATAAAACAGGATTTATATTTTCATTCAATTGGGATTAAGAATCGTATGGAGAAAGCAGAACAATGGTAAGTTTTATATATGTATAATTTTATGAGTTCATAATTAATTAGATTTCACATTCAACATACATATGTGGTTTGTGTGTGGCTAATTGATATGTTTAAATAGGAATAAAATCCTGTTTTTTATGGAGAGAGAGATATTATTAAAAATATTTATTGATAATCAAAACGGATTACAAATATGTTATATTGTTATATATTTAATAAACACGTAAAAGATGTAATGAAGATTATTCATACATATTTTTTGCCACAACTTTTATAATACGTTCTTTACACAATAATCAATGAGTATAATTATCGTGCGTATCAGAGCGCGTTAAATTTTATGTTGTAAAAAAATAGAATGAATATTTTGGCGTCTTATAAGCACAAATCTGCAGATTTAAAGAATGGAATTATTATACTACATATGTATTATTGAATGTGAAATGCTGACAAAACGCGCATCGGTTCATCCTTTTTCAATAGTCTCTATGCGAAGCAATGCTTATGCAATATTCAACAGTGATATTCCTCGCAAACAAGAAATATATATTCTTTTAGCGACGCGAAGCGTCGTCGAAAATCGAGTTCAAAGACAATTTTCGGATAAAAGCGACTACCAATCTCGTATTGTGCCGACGGGCTGTTTGCAGTTCGTTCTGTATAGCGATAGAGAAACGACCGGTGGTACGTAGTTTGCAGATCGCTATACATGTGCATATGTACGTTCGGTCATGTGTGCGCGACTGTATGTACGCTCGCGAATGTACGCTTGTCTGTATATATGAATTGATTGCACTTTACCTGTAAACTGATGTACCGAGATCCTCGCGATACCAGAGCACAAGATGCACAGAGTCTCCCTCGTGAGTGGTTGATATGTCGCAGGGAAGATAGGCGGAATCTCCGACTAGTGCCACGATGTGTGATATGGGTACTAGATAACAGAAATGCGGAACAGTTAGATTTAACAGCAAGAAGGACATTTTCGAAAAATATAATAGCCGACGAATTTCTATTTTTAATAATCGTAATAATTTTGTTTTAGCGAAGTTATATACTTGCAAAGTTTGAGCTAATTAATTGAATGAATTATTAAAATTATTATTAAATACAATCTGTATAGTCATATTTTTTGAAGAATTTTTTTAACTGATTCACTTTTTAGGGACATAATTGAGAGATCGCGATTTTATACACGTATGTGCAATAAAAATGTAACTTGCAAAGTCGGACGCGATATGTCCGCATATTGATAAAAGTGCAATTTGCTTGCGCGGAATATAAATGATTTAATTTATTTTATCAGAATAATCTTTCACTTTGTATGCAATTACGTATCGTATTTGTTTCCCAAAAGCGAGTTTCTCTGTGATTATATTATTCGGTGATGCGAGAACGCCTATATAATGCGATAAGTATCAGCCTATTATTGCTCGTTCAAACCAATATACGTATATAATCGCGTTTAATATTAGGATAAACACCTTCGCGTTAATTTGTATTAATCTATTAGCTTAATCAACGATAACATGTTATATCAGTAAAAATATATTCGCCTGCGCGAATATTGTCACTCTTTTCAATTTTTCTATATTATCAAAATAAAAATATCGCAATAGCAAGCTATGTAAGCAAGCCTGGCACCCGACTTTTTAAAAATTAATTTTTTAATACAGAAAATGACATTTCGTTTGTTTTATAAAAAATTTTAAAAATTAAAAAAATGAGTAGCACCGCAGACATTGAGATATCTCAAATCCGCTTGGGCAGTCTTAGAATTATTTGTAGTTGATTGTAAAAAAATAACTATTATTGCACGCATTACTAAATATTTTATACTGTTAGTAATTTTTATTAGTTTTATATGCACTAAATGTCGTGCAGAGAGACGTTCTTCGTTATATTTTCGATAAAACATCTTCAGCTGCATATCGTACGAAACCGTACGAAAGCTTTGATGCATTCGCGTATAGATATACCGCAATAAGGCTGTAAAAATTCAGTGTGCTCGTGAAGATAAAATTCGAAACGTCGGTGGAGCATCGTATGTAGTGCGTTGCTCGTGGTGCAAAAATGTGGCAATCCTTTCGATCGAAATTAAATGATCGTTTTTATTTATGATGTCTCTCCCTCTCTCTCTTCTTCATTTCTCTTTTTCTCTCGAGATACGTGAATGCAACACGGTGTGACGACAGAAAATTTTGAACTATTCACAGAGATACCAAACGGGCGCTGGTATCATCGTTGGAGTTTGTGCTTCGACGTTTCGCTACGTCGTTTTCCCGACAATACCGTATCGGCAGTCTTTCCCTCCTTTTGTACACCCGCGGTCCGTTCGCCAAGATATATACACTCAGAGTGAAAAATATCAAAGGCTGAGGCGCCCAGCGTAAAGTTTTACCCGAGAGAGAGAGAGAGAGAGAGAGAGAGAAAGAATGCGCTTTTTTTATTAAGAATAAAATCTACGTTGCATTTTACAATACAATGAGCGTTCGTGTATGCGTTTGTGTCGCCTACAGCGCAGCCCGGCATGAGTAACATTTTTTACACAATTACATTCGCCTGTTCGATAAAAACGCTTCGTTTTGTATTAGTATATACTTCTACGTCAGCTATGAAAGCGTATTGCTGGTCTCTATTACTTTCTTACGTAACAGGAAAACCATTCATACGCAATAACTCGTTCTAGATCTCGGAAAAAATGCACAGGCAATGCATGCGACATTTATTATGCAGCTCGCTACGTAATTTTGATTGTTTTTAGTAGTTGCCAGCTTCGTAATTATTATTCACGTATTATTTACATATATGTATAAATTATTTTTATATTAAATTATATAGAGGAAATATATAAATAGCAATTACATATACATATATTTTAATAAAATAATACTTTAATAAATTTCGAAGATTTAATATTTCTTCCAAACGATGTGAACTTTTATGTAATATTATCTGTCATTACCTAGTCTTTATTACGCTAACGCTATCGTTAGCAAATATATGAATAGCAATTACATATACATATATTTTAATAAAATAATACTTTAATAAATTTCGAAGATTTAATATTTCTTCCAAACGATGTGAACTTTTATGTAATATTATCTGTCATTACCTAGTCTTTATTACGCTAACGCTATCGTTCATCTAAATTGGATATCGTTAGAAGCAACGTTATACAGACTGAAAGCCATTATTATGAGTAGCCATTATTAGCTAGCTAGAATTCTCTGTGATCGTTTCGTAATAATACTAAAAAGTAGTCATGGAGCAGATCCCGTCAAGAGGATCAACTGAGCGGATCATACGAATTCGCCAATAAAATGATCCAGTGGTGGTGCACGGGTTATGAGAGATGTGTCCTCACAAAATTTTCTCCTCGTAAATTCGTAGAAAATTAGAGTATTACGTCTTGCCGACCGACCTGATCGGATTAATGTCGTATGATGGACCGTTGAATTCTAGTGTTCTTTTACGGGCGCTGACATGCATTCTCGCGACTGTTCCTCGCGGATTTACCTTTAAAATCGGAACTTAAAACCATCGAGGATTAGGAACGAATCTCGCTGAAATGTCAGTTCAGCACATCCCAAAAGAAATAAATTTTCTTTTTGTTTTCTTTCTTTCTTTGTCTTCTCTATGCATCGAAGATATTCGCCGTGGACTAGCCGCAACTTTAACGACGGATGATTTTATCGGACCGACAGGCGTGGTGAAGCAAGTTTTGTTGTGCATGTTCGTTGTTCGACGCGTGTAATGGTTTCCGGTGCCATCTCGCCGAAGGTTGGAATATTTCTCTTCTTCGCCAGAAAGTCCGACCCAATGTACTTTTTACGTTTTCTTTCTCCAAGATATCTATAAGAGCGCACTGTGTCATCACGTCTAGTATCTAATATAAGGCACCTTACGTTTCGTTCCAGCGGGAGCTCGAGGCGTATTTTTCGCCATGCTTTTGTCACGCATATATATGAGTTTGCATCGTTTGAGTTTTATGTATATACTTTGTATGTATATTTTTCTTTCACGGAGAGAAAAGTAATTACTCTTTTGATGTCTGCTATTCGAAATATATCAGCCACACGAGCATTGTTACACAATTTAATATCAATTCATCAATATATATATAAATTTAATTTATGAAAAATGTATGTCTAAAATAATACGTATTTTTAAAAAGTTTAAACAAATAGTTTTGATAATTAAAAATTTAACGCCAACTTCACATAGCGTCTCACTTTACCCTACGGCATTTTCCTTATCAGTAATAATTATTATCGGGTTTAAAAAATTTATAGTAATTTATATTTATAGTAATTTTTATAGTAAAAAAAATTGTATTGTAATATTTATCAATCGCACATCATAATTTCAACGTTTATATGTAGTTCGAAACGCATATTTCACGAGAAATTCTATATGCAAAATCTCTTGCTAACGGTCAATATAATTCAATCTAATCTATTTTCGCACGCGCAAATGTATTGCGATCCGTGGATATATCTATCCGTTGATTCTAGCTTACATATTTATATGTATATTATAATGTGAAATAATAAAATTATTCTAATATATGTATATATTCTATTTGTTACAGGTAACATTGCGATTCACGCGTCGTGTCGGGAGTGTCGTGTAAAGTTTCGCGTGTCGGGAGTGCCGTGTAAAGTGTCGGGCGATCGTAATTATTCGTATTTTCGCGAGTGCCGTGAGTGCTACGAAAAACCAGAAGAGGAGGAGGAGGCCTGGGGAGGCATCAGGCAACAGCGGTATGCAAAATAAAAATATTTTTTTCCTAAATTGCATTGTTTATGAGATATTCGTTTCCAAACTTTCAAAATATCCTGTATGTATGTATGTATTTTATATATATATGTACTTACATATACACACGTATATACATAATTTGAATATTTTGTTTTCAGATCAATGTGATACTACTACAACTTTGCTGTTGCGCGTATCGGTGAGTGAGAAATTGTTTATTTTATAACATTTGCATAGCGATAATAGGAATGTGTGAAGCACTTAATTTCGTGATAACTCATAAATAATTACCAGTTCTGGCGATTAAACCAAAGAAAATGTCTAAGGACAAATTGATATACCAACTTCACGCAATAAGTGTTTAAATTTAAAAAAAATTATAGTTTTATTTAAGTTCTAAAAAAAATGGTGCCTTCTACAAATAAAAAATATTAAACTTAAATACATACCAGCAAATCTCTTACTTGAACATATTGAAATAAAACGGTGCTCGATTTTTGAGAATTTTGCTTATTACGAAATAATTCTGGTATAGTTCTGAGCATGAATTCTATAGAATTATTGAAAATAAAATCAGAACTCTTGACTATTTATGATTTTCCACGAAATGATATGCTAGCTTCACACACACTGCATTTTGATGTCTTAATTTGTTTTAAAATAGTTTTTATATATTTTTTTAGTTTATATATATATATATGTATGCATATATACATATAATCAAAATTATTTATTTAAATTATCGAGAAACATAGAACTATTAATAAAAATGAAATAAAACTTGAATTCTTAATAATTATGAGTGCGGAATAATACATCAGTTTTACATACACACATTAATAATTAAAATATTATATAGTTCGCACATTAATAATTAAAATATTATATAGTATATTATATAGTACACACATTAATAATTAAAATATTATATAGTTCGCGATATATATATTATTTTTTGATACATCCTGTTTCGAGGAAACGTAAGACGCTTTTCCCTTGATCTCGATTAATATTCGCACCCTTCGCCTTGCTTTGCCTCTCACGTCTAGTTCGATCGTTATGGTGACGTTCGAAAACATGTCTTGACGTTTCGTGCCGTATCAACGACACGTGTGCATTATATCGGCGTCGTTGCAGGCGTTGCTTGCGTCATGCTGTTTGTCATAT